ACAAGCTTGACAGCAACGTGAAACGTTTGTTTGCTGCAGAGAAGTTGAGAATAGCTGCTTTCTTTTCAGTTCATATTTTCCTTTGGTTTGTAATTAAAGCAGTAAAATTTAATTTTCTTTGTCAGTTTTTTCTTTTGTTAGGTAAATTTGATGTGAGTGCTGTCAATGTTTACTTCTCACAAGTAAGAAGTGGCGAGGCGGGGGACAAGTGGGGAGCTTTGTGGTCAGTGAATTCTTCAGTCTTTGTCGAAAGGCGAAATTTTGATGTCAACCCTACGGACTGTTGAGGAGTCTTAGTCCACCTTCCCTTACTTTCTGAGAAAGACAACCTTAGATTTCTTAGTGTTAGCTTAGGGTAAAGATGTGTCTTTTGCAAGCCAGAAAAAAGTATGAATATATTCCCAATGTTGGAAATTTTTTTTTGTTTTTGGAGACGATTGTATGATGAGGAACATTGAGGGACTGTGTCAAGTCTTTACTATTATTCCTGACAGAGAGGAGTCCCATAGGTCCCTTTTACTGTTTGTACATGATCCCTAGGATGACAACCACACCTCAGGAACTAAACAAAGTTGTACCAAATAGGCAGACTGCCTTTTTGGAGCCTTACACGTTTTACATACAAGTCTGTTAGGAGAAAATTGGTCAAGTTTTGAGACAATCCCTCAGTATTTTCCTTCCCAGGTGGATATTATGATACAGGATGCTGTGTGTCCCTGCACTGGATGGACCTGCATGTTACCATGTTGGATTTATCAACATGGACTAAATGATAAAACACTGGCTGTCCAGTTCATGAACCAGAGATATTACCAAGGGAATAGATACAAGAAAATTTGGGATAAAAGAATATTGCTGTGTTTCAAAGTTCTTGTTTAACAAGAAAGGAAACAGATATTGTCTGTTATGCGCCCTTACTAAGTTTGAAAGTAGATCCTATTTGAACCTGTAAGAAATATTCTTCCAGGTATGAAGGGCCCTAATTTTGATGTGTTGTCCTGGAAGAATCTGTCTAAATGACAATAATGTGTTGATGCTTGATACAGGAGTTGTATAGTGCAGAAAAAGGATAAGAGGACATGGAAGTTTGGCCACATGATTTGTCAAGTCAGTACATTTCCCTCATACACGGGTTGTGAGCATGTTGAATATGCTGTGGCATACAAGTCCACTCTCTCATGTAATGAAATGAAGCAGGCCATTGGTGCAACCCTGCACAACTGTTCTTGTACCATTATCCACATGCATGGAAGACATATCTGACATGGTTTCTGACTCATTAGATCTTGCAATTAAAATTGTACATATGGAGATTGCAGCAGCAGCAGCAACAACTACAAAAAAATTAATTAAACTGTTGAAAAATATGTGAAGATGAAATTTTGGAGCAGGTGTACATTGTGCGTTCATTGTATGAGAAGACCAACCTTTCCTGTGTTGAGCTTGATGACTTGTGCAGAGAAGATATAATGATATTTGTGTGAATTTATCTGAATCTGTTCATTTGTTGCCATACATTTTCACTGTAACTGTGCACATGCAGACACACGTTGGGCATGTATTAAGCAGTTGGACTTACCAAGCTTTAGCGCTCTAACTCATAAGTTTAGCCGGTACAAATGTGGTGCTGTATGGCACCTGTAGAGTGCTAAAGTTGTCAGAGACTGCAAGGTGAATTACTTCTTCAGTCCTTCTGCAAGATGTATGACTGTATTACCCGACCATTTTGAGCACTACGTTTAGGGAACCTGACAGTACGTGTTTGTGACTTCCAGATTCATGCAATCATATTTTTAACAATGATTGTACAGAACTCACCCCTGTAATCATACATGTAGGTCAGTTCTCACTGCATACATACAAGATGCTGTCTTGGGTTTCATTACCAGCAAAGTTATCAAATGTCAAAACTACTTTGCGTTCTAGTGTTCACCATTGTCATTTCAATTAACCAGGGAACAGTTTTAATCAAGTCTTCATTATTGTTCTATATCACCCTCCAAGTAAACTGTTATGGTAGCCAGTTTGACCCAAAGTACCAGTGACCTAACCTGATGAATTGATCCTTAAAGATTCAGGAAGAATAACCAATGCCCAACCTGTGTCTGATCTGCTAAGGTAGCCACATGCAATCATTTTCATCATCAGTTTCTTTTTTCGTTTTGTACCAGTACCAGACTAATCTTGATTTAAATTATTACATCATAAAGATGTGCGCTTTATTTTCAGCGTATTGTGCAAAAAATGCGCCATGTGACTTCCAATAAAATCTCTCCTTTTACCAGAGATTTCTTCGTCCTGCTGTCTTTGCTGTTTAATGTTGATTGTGGTATGTAATTGTAATTAAGTATACATGCATTGGTGAAAAGGCTTTTTAGTTTGGTCAAACAATTTCAGAGATTCTTTGCTTACGTAAATGGTCGTAGACATAGGGAAACAACGTTACATACAATGTATTTGACTTACACTGGGTCCTGAATTCAAAGTTAAATCTGTCCTGCTTCAGTAACCTGCTAGGTGGCACTTCACTATTGCTGTACAAAACTGATGGAGACACAAATAGCTCAACAAATGCATATGTATATGTACTTGCAACTTTAATTAAAATTTGCCTGGACATAAAATATGTATTCTTAACAGCGGGTACAGCACCTTTTCCAACAGATACAAACAGCTTTGCAACTAAAAACAGCTGAGAAAAGCATAAAAGACAATTGCACAGGATCTTGTGAATAAAGTCCTAGCATTGGGTAGAGATCCTGATACGAAGTATAACTTACTTAAATTACATGGATGCAGAGACTCAGTACGAATAACAAATAAACACTTGATAACAACATACATGTAGCACATGTATGCAGAATCATTTCTGAGTCTCATTTTGCCTGACTAAATAATGCTAGTTAGCTGCCCACTGGTCAGGCGGTAGGGGCTGATAGAGCCCTGGACAGTGAGAGTTTGTGTTACACAGGCCAAGTCTCACTCAGCTGAGGCTGAACCAAACATCAGCTGGATTTAGAATCCAGCAAGTGCAGAAAAGGGCTTGCTGACAAAAACATTGCCTTCTTTGATAAGTGGACATAAACTTTTAGATATGGTTTAAATCAATACAAAATATATCCAACTGGAATATAAGACATGCTATTGCAAACAAATGTCTACATACATTTTGCTGCAAATAAACAATTAAATAGCTTCTAAATAGTATATATATTTCTATAGCCAGAATAAGCGATAAATACTAGTAGGTACAGATAAAATCCTCACCATTAGTCCTTACATAAAAGATACAATCTATCAGTATTAAGTATAAATCACAATTAGTATCATTGATAAACCTATTGTATGTTTTCCCTCACATTTTGTTTCTGTAGTCATCTTCGTACATTCCACACAGCAGGGAGATATCACATCTTAAGTGAGTGGATTTTAACCGTGGAAAAAGGTCACAATGTTCATCCATCTTTAAGTACATACCAGCAGAGTCAGTCGATATATATCAACACACTAGCTACATGTGTGTATATCTTGATTTAGATGGACAATACACACATCTAAGAACATATTATGTTAGTAGTAACATGGAAATAGGTGGTTCATAAACAAAAGTACATACATCTTATCAATACTTTGCAGTCATACTATAATTATTGCTCTAATAGCTGGAATTTCTTCTCTTATACACTAACATATTATCTATGGAAACATAGACTACTCCTTATCTACAAGTTGTCAATTGTACAAACAGGAGTAGTCTCTTCATCTGTATCTGATAACAAAACAATTCCAAAATCTAGTCCAGTGTAGACATACTGTGGAACCTGATGATGTATACTAACATGTGAACCAAAAACAATACACGTACTAGTAATCATAATACTGCACACTTGTGTACCAAGGTTTCATTGGTGCTTGTAAGAACTATTAGTTTATCTGCGGCCATTAGGTTTATCTTTTTTTTGCTCTTACATTAAAGCAGATATCTTCCTATGACATCAAGGAAGCTAATAATAAGGGTATCATTCTTACTCTTCCTCGTATCTGCATGAAAGGCGATTTGTAGAGGTAAATGGCTAAATTAGTAATGAGCTTAATTATAACACCTTATATGTAATGTTACATGTGACTTCTTGTGAACATCATCCTACAAATACCTCTCAGGTACATTAATATTTGTTGGGGTAACCAACTCCACTGTTAAGCCACCAATGCTGAAAAATCTACATAAACACTCAGGCCCAAACCTGAGAACCTTTCACTGACTGGTGAAACAAAAGGCAGTCAGTGAAAGATGTGCCTGCAGTTCTCAAACTGGTGAAAAAATGGTGAGATTCTTGACCTGAGAAACATTGGAACAACCAATAACTGATACAAGGTAAATTGAATGACATACATTGTACTTGTCACAAACTATTGAAAATACTGTTTCATTATCAAATCGAACATATTACTCTAGCTAGAATACCAGTCCAAAATAAATTAATTACATTAAGCATGTAATCTTGCAAACCTTAATTCATAAAGCATATCTTATGTTTGATACTACATAACCTCCAACTTTATACAAGCTTCAGCTTCTGGAATGTCACTACAGGCTAACTGTATCTTCTTTATGACATACATTGTATGCCCACATCTCCTACAACACAGTGCTCAACACTACAGTGTGGCAAACAAAATGCCACCTCCTTATTGTTGCTCATTCTTCACATTCATTTTCTGACAAAAGCAATACTATAAAAGCAGCAGCTAAAAGGTATATCTTTTTTTTTAATGTCAAGAAACAAGATTTTTCTTGTTATTCATACATCTGCTTACAAGACTTGGTGTGTGCAGCATTATGGTAATGAAGCATCCAATAAAAAGAAGTCAGACAGTTGTTTCAAGTAAGCCAGCAGTCTAAACAAGGAGGAGGTGATCTTATAGAACCTGATCATTTTACTTATTCACAGATTAAAGTGAGTATACCTGACTGTAGGCATCTTACACAACACACACACAATGTCCTCTTATCCCTATCCAATCAACCAAACAATACTTTTCCCAGTACTTATACAAACTCCATGGAAGACAAATTAATGAAAGGCATGTAATCTACCAATAATCAGATGGTGTTCTTTCCTTCCATTGCTGACAGGCTATCATGGAGACATCTCACTTTTTAAAAACATTAACTGCCATAGAAGCTCTGTACCTCTTTACACCAGCTATTGCTGCAGTGACATGATATCAAAATTGACAGTATTCAATTATCGCTTGTATTTATACTTAATGTGCAGTACTCACTATCACACATCGCAGAGAGCTGTGGCTTATATAATTACACCCATGTCACCATCCATTCTTGTGTATCACTAAATGCAGACCTCTGCATTACAGCGCATTGAGCGCAATGTATCCACTTTGCAGCTTCCTTTGTAAGATGGATATTCACAACTTTCCTTCTTCACTTCTCTGCCATTTGTGCTGTTTCCACAGCCGAAGACGGCATGCTGTCTTCTTCTGACTGTAGAGACTCTTCAGAATCATCGTCTTCATCGTGAGTATGAGTGATCTGCCGGGGTAGCATGGGCCGGATTTTGTGTCCTGTAAAAACACACAAGGTAAGGTTAGAGAGAGAATTTAGAGTGCAAAATTAGAAATTAGGGTTCAAAACAAGTCCTGACAGAGATAACTATTTCTTTTCAAAGGATACAAAGGGCTCTAATAGAATAAAAGTTGCCCTTAACTTCAGAGAGACACAAAGTTACCTAACATGTATGCAGGCTTTAAGTTTTCATATGGGAAAGTACATCCTATAATCATGTCTTTTTGTTTGTTAATGATAGATACATGTAACAGTATCATTATTTTTGGAGTACCAAATTGGATCATGTTATCCTAATTGTTATAATACATGTTACATGTGTATCCCTTCACCCTGAAAGAATGATACATGTACTGTGAAATGTAAAAGTCAAAGGAACAAATCATGCACCAGTGCTGTAGATAGAAAAGAAGGACAGACCACCTTGTGAACCCTCTCACAGCTGCCTTCTGTTGTAATCACTACAACTACCCGCAGCAGAGAGACAGTTACTGTCTAAAGAAGGTCTACTTCACACAAGACATGCTGAAATGTTTTCCACTAAAAGACCCTGTATCCATGACAGGGTCTTTCCTAGATGTTAACTAAAGATATTACTGAGAGACTCTGTAGCTTTGAAACCATGGAATGCTGTTGAGAAGAAGTAAAGTAGAACTAAAACAAAAAACACTGGGAAGTTAAAGGGTAGGTGATAAATCAGACCATCAGTCCAAGTCGTGCGTCTTCGCAGAACAGCACCTGACTGTATGGCTGTTGGTTCTTCCATGTCTATGGATAAGAAGAGGCCATTTTTGTGCATTCATAATACACAGAACACTGCCGTACTGGTTACAACAGGATCTCTGCTGCTTATAAGTGGCATGGAATGATGTTTCAAATTCTTACTTCAAAGAGTCTACTTTCTAGTGGACACTGTAGCAGCAACTCACAATATATAGTACATTTTTTAACAACATCGCTTCAATAAGACAGGAGCGTTCTTACAAGATCAACTCTGAGCTAAACACAACACAATCTGTAGGCTGTTCGTATCTTTAATTTCTAGTCTGATTGAACATGTAAGTTACCCATAAAAACACAGATATGAATGAGTGTATTTCCTTACCATCCACACAGGCGATGGTGGCACCCCGAGTCATGGGTCCCCTGGTCCCGGGGGTGTCCGGCTCCACTGACCAGGACCGCGCTCTGGTAGCCATGGGACTCTCCGGCTCAAACCTGGTGTTGTGGGACACTGTGGACTCATGAGGCATCTATCAGGACAAGGGACAGTCAAAACAAAATGGAGGTGAAAATTACATTCTGTATAACATACATGTACATCAACTGTTACCTCCTGATTTCTTTTTAATCTTTTGGGAACACACTTCTAAGTATTTTAATACCTCACATATGATAAAAAGCTGGACAGGTGTGATACAAAAACTGCAACTGTATTTTAATTCTGAAGTGTGGCAAGAATACATCATGTTCATTGTAAATGTACACTAGATACATTAACTTCCCCTTGTGTTCACAGATGTGATAAGCCTGCTATCCAAAGCCTTACCAGGACATGAGGTGCCCTGAAGAAGTAGCTGAAGGGGTAGTACATCAGGTTGATGAAGGAGGTGGCGTACAGGTCCGCAAAGCGAATGACCTGGTTGGCAAAGTACGTCTGCCGTGAGCCGCTTCTGAACAGGCTTCCCATCATGCCATAGGACATGTCCATCTCGTGAGTCACTTCCTGAAAAGGAATGTTGGGAGACATGTGATGAAATACTCCTCTTGAATTTCTCCTTTCTCCACTGTTGTGCCCTGGTAATCTATGACTTAATGAAGTTATTTATTCTCCAAAGTGAAAAACAAAGATTGTGATCCATCCATATTCCTTTCCTACCTTAATGGCCTTCTGTAGACTGCTGATGTCAGGGATCTCCTTGTGTCTGGAGTCCAGCTCCCTGTACACGTCTGCTAGCAGCTTGTCAAAGTTCTGCAGTCTACTGAATAGGTCTGGTGGAGAAACAACATTATACACAATGAGGTAAAGTCAATTCATTCAAACAGAATGTTCTGTACCCTTAACATTAGCATTGAGTTCAGTTTTTGCACGACTTCAAGCAATATTAATATTTTAACAAAAACTGTCTGACAGTAAATTTTACAAACTTAAAGCCAATTCAGGAACAAATTGCAAATTGATCTTAGATTGTGACCTTTCTTACATGAATGTTAAAGCATTCTTGGCCACACAATGGTATGTCTCTGCCACATAAGAAAGTAGAAGGCAGGATGGCAATTTGACAATGATCCCCTAACAATACTTCTACCTCTACCATTTAAAAAATATTCTTCTTTTGTTTGCCATCTTGCTGCCTACAAATTTACTTCTCTTGTCCTTTCCCAATCCTTCAGATTACACAGTGACTTGATGACTGACCCTGCTTGTCCGTCCACACATGCAGCTCCTGTGCCAGCTCAGGAACCACCAGGAATGTTCTCCAGCCGTGCGACTTCTTGGACTTGAGGATGTCTCCGAAGATGTGGTCCCCGACGTACAGCACGTCCTTCCCCTTGGCCCCCATGATCTCTGACAGCAGCTCCGAGTTCCCTCCACAGTACACCGTGTTGGGCTGCATCTGCCCGATGTAGCTCCCCAACGCCAGCTTGCCTGTCTCCTGGGGGTCACAAGCAGGTGGACATCTTTCTTTATTAACTTGTTTGGCTGGTGTACATACTGATACAGCCAAGGTTGCTGAACTAGTGAGTGGTTATTATTTTGACAAAACTTGGATAAATGTAGGCAGGTGGACAAACTCAATGGACTGCCTCAATTGTACAAATCAGCCAACAGTAAGACTTAGCATTCCAAGTCGTAACATGTACACAACACTGATAAAACTCTAGTACTTTCTTAGCCATAAAAATGATGACAGAAGCTGTATACCAATTAGGAAATTAAGACTTCATCAATGATGCTTACCAGCTGATATGATGATTATCAGTATGCTCAAAAGAGGTTGTTTCTACCTAAAATGGTGAGGCTGTATCTACTTTTGTTGCATGAGACTTACACAGTCCACCTTCCTGAGAGGTGTGCCCTCCCCAAAGAACAGTGGCTTCCTGGCATCCACAATGATAGCATCAAAGTAGCTCTTCCATGGCCTCCAGGGGGCATCATTCTAGTCAAAAGAACAGCATACATTATTAAGTGCAAAGTTTACAATATTTCTACACCATTTCTGTCTCTTGTGTCCAGCATGTAGTATTGTGGATGAACGAAGAAGGATTGTACACGGGTGGGAAAATTGTGCCAGGAGTGAAACCTACTATAATTTACACAGACAAGTTGGACAGAAGAAAAAGAACTGTGACCTGAAACAGACATTTTTAGACGACCAAATCCACACAATCCTTCCAGGTTTGTCCCTTAATCAGCCAGCTGCTATGGGGAAGGCAGCGGTGCAGTACAATATTTGGTCAGCACATCACAGTCAGATGCTCCCAAACAATTCAAAACAAGAAGCAGTCAACAAAATTAGGGAACAGTCTGGTCCCAGGTGACACCTTTCTCTAATAGACAGAAATATTCAAAACAATCCAAAGGCCCAGGCAGTTGACATTCAACTATACCCTTGGATGTTTTTAAAAGATTAGAATCCAACATCATGTAATAATGGAGCCATTGTGTTTGGTCCTTGAATATGAAAGGTTACCGGTAACACCAAAATCTGCGAAACAGTTTCAAACAGAGGTGCAATTGTTAAAAGCATGTTCATCTCTTGACACTGGATAGGTGAGGCATTTTACCTGACATTTAGTCACAAGATCAGTTTTCCATGTTACTTTTCTACAGTCTTTCTGAAAGAAATAATTCATGCTATCAGGTGGTTCAAATTTCATAAAAAGCTGTTAGTGTTTTCCAACTCCAGCTGCAGCACAGGGATATTATGCTTTAGTAGGTGACTTCTCATCTCTTAGGAACGTCTTTAGAAATGTATTTGATGCAAACTATAGATAGAAGGCTGGAAAAGATACTTAATGATATGAACAAACAAGCATGGATAACTGTCAAAATGAGAGGCATAATGCATCATCTACATGACATTTGTGTAGTTGCTATATAAAGTTGTGTTGAAACATTAGGATATAGCATTAGTACAATATCTATTGAACTGAACTGAACTGTTAAGTGTTGTGCAGATGAAAAGATGGGAATACAAATTAAAATTTTGCATAACCAGGTTATTTTAAAGGGGAACCATAACAGGGCAGCATCAAACCTTCATCTTTCCTGTTGGCTGGATGGTGGGCCCATTATTTGGAATGTATCCATTAGAATCCTGGAAAAGTGTGCAAGAATCATTGGGAGTCAGAATGATCACAAGCCTATAGAAGATGGACCAGTGGTTATCAATATCTTCTTTGATGAGTCTTCAGACATCAGTGCTGGAACTTCTTCCACTGCTTACAAATATATATGAGGTGGTTGTGGGTTATATCCTCTGCTACAGCTACACTTTCCCCAGGACTTGCTTCATGC